TTGTTCGCGCTGTTCTGCGCATCGCACTGTGCACTTCAAACCGTCGCACTGTTTTGTGCATTTGAAAGTTGTTCGCGCTGTTCTGCGCATCGCACTGTGCACTTCAAACCGTCGCACTGTTTTGTGCATTTCAAACCATCGCACTGTTTTGTGCGCGCATAACATAGTAATTCTAGGCTAATAATTGGTTTAAGAACACATAGCGTTTTCAAAATCGGATATCATGGTTAGTAGAGGCCGGTCTTCGGACTGGGCGAAAGGGGGTGCTCATAGCTGACCTTCCCCGATCGTACCCAAGCTCCCGAGCCGAGACAACTCCGGTGATGACGGACATGTGGCCTTCGGCACCGAGTCAGGGTTTCCTAAATTCCCCCATTTTAAAATATTTAGGTGGCGACTCTGTATCTGGCAAAGCAGTCCATGTTTGGCACTACTTTTTCAAAAATCTGTTTCTCAAAACGATTTGCCAGATTTGGACTCTTTGGTTCAGATTAAGAACCGCGGCAACAAAAACCGCGAGTCCGAACTGTAGTAGCATGAGGCCTCACGCGGGCGCGTCTACAAAACCACAGTGTCATAATGTTTATATAGCACAACACAATCATGTATGGCAACCAAAATGGATATGACAGAATGTTTAAGGACTCATCACAAAATTTCTTAGGAATTCACACACTTCTTCTTTCAGCATTGTATGGTCTGACAAAAAAAAAATATGAAATGCAAACCAAACGAAGTTCAACCATTACAATATTTTAACTGGTGCTAGTTCATCGAGTTAGGAAAATATTTTGAGAAGAATACCAAGGCTAAAAACGATTTTAAAATGGAGAAATAAAATTTGGAAGAAAACTGTTTTTTCTGAGACAGTGAGTTACAGTAACTTCCAGCACAGGTGATCTGTGTTTGAAACATAAAAAAGTGGCCTCAAACGATGTAAAAAAAAAGTATGGTTAGAATAGCTTGCTAGATATTTGAGTTTAGAACATTTTTCCAGAAGAGTTTGAAGACTGAAAACCAATGGAAGATGGTCAAATAATTTTTCTAAGAGAACTAGACAGATTCTATCACATTTTAGTAAAACTACAATTTCTCTTTTCAGACTTATCCATTTTTTGTGAAATCGGTGGAAAATGAAAGATAACTCTTATATCTAACTATCCCAAGTGATCGTGCAGAAAAATATCATTTGCAGAGAAAAAAAATTGACGTTTCTCTCTCAATGCTTAATAAAAAATTATGAAACCAGCGGAATTTGAAAGGTAACTTAAAAATCTAACTTTTCCAATTTGAATCACTTGAAAATTCATTCTGTAGAATAAAC